GCTGCCCAGCGCGCCCGTGTCGGGGACCGTCGTCGTCCACGTCCTGGGCCCCGGCGGGTCGCCCGTCATCGGCCTCGAGACCGACATCGACATGGCCCTGCGCCGCTCCCCGGGCGCCGCGGGCGCCGACTTCGACTTCGGCGGCTCCAAGATCCTCGTCCTCTCCAGCCAGATGCGGCCCGGCGCCGTCTACGACCAGGGCACGGGCTTCGTCCTCACGGACTACGCCCTGCGCAACCCGAGCGCCTGGGTCCCCATCGTCTTCAACGAGGTCTTCTTCGTCAGCGCGCACCGCTTCTCCATGGCCACGCTGCGCGCCTGCTGCGGCGGCGGCCACTTCGCGGGCTGCCGCGACAACTCCGCCATCGTCGTCGGCCGCGTCATCACGCCGGCGGCGGCCAACAACGTCTTCGCGATCGTCGGCATCGCCAAGGAGGGCCTCGGCTCGTCGGGCTCCGGGGCGCCCCACTACATCGACGTCGACACGCGGGAGAAGACCAACGGCCTAGTGTCGTTAGGTCTTCTCTCGCGAGGCGCGGGCTTCACCACGAGCCAGCCCACGAACTACCGCCACCAGCTCTTCGGCTACCGCCAGATCATCGAGCTCACCGTCGCCTAGGTAGTCACGAAGAAGTATTAAGATCACGACCACTGGCCTTCCACGTAGGCCTCCGCGTCGTCGCTCATTTAGGAATCTGACTCGCCGGGTCTAGCTAGTGAGACGCGTTTGTTCTGGTAGGTGGGGCCGGTCGTAATGCGGCATCTTGAAGGCCGCACGGGCTTCTTGCAGCGGGGCAACGTGCCCTCAAGGAGCCGTCCCCGGGCCTGCCTGGCGAAACCTTTTTAGTCGCCGACCTTTCAGGTCGCTGCCGATCTGACGAAACCGACCTTTCGAGTCGCCGTTCTTTTAGGTCGCGACGCGACCTTTCAGGAGACGCGGCGCGACCTGGTAGGTCCGAGGGGGCGTCTCGCCCGACACCAGACAGGACCTGAAAGTTACCTGAAAGGTCCCGAGAGCCTCTAGCTGGACGCCGCCGACGTCTAAGTAGGCACCTGACAGGTGACCTGAAAGGTCGCGTGGGCCGAGGCTGGGTCTCGACCGGGTCGTCTCGCCTGGAAGTTCGCACCTTTCAGGAGCTCGGAGAGAGAACCATCCCACACTGATCACGGAGAGCAAGCTCTTGAAGTGATGGCGCGCGAGAAGGCCGCGGAGATGCAAGTGAACATGCGCGTCAACGACGCGTTGGCGCGCCTCGGGCGCGAGGAGAGCGACATTTCCAAGGAGTTCACGCAGGAGATCAACGACCTCATCGAGGATCTCCGGGGCCAGAAGGGCCTGTCGCGGGCCGCGGGCGCGTACGTCGTTCACGCCATCTTCGGCGTCGCGTGTTCGGGGGTCCCGTTCCACCTAATCGGTGCCTTCGGGGCCGCCGGCACGCAGGACCTCGCCTTGCTCTGCGGCGCGACCGGCGCGCGACCGGCGCCGGGAACCGGGGAACGTTCCACGCGAACGCGTCCGTCGTAGGTTCGAACAAGGGCGGCGCCCTCAAGGCCATCTCCGACGCGTTGCTCGCCGGCAAGCAGACCCTCCTCGAGGCCTTCCCCTTCGTGAGCCT